AATTCTGGGAGTTGAAGTCCACTCATCTTAAAGTGGCCAAGTTTGGACAACACTGGATTATATGTAGAGTTTGATATTAGACTACGGGAATTGGTTGGAAAATAGTTACCCAGCGAGCTGCTTGAAGCAATATGTAGGAATTTCCTCAGTCTGTTCCGGGCTTCGGTCTCCCTACTTTGGGGTTTTCAGTGCATCTGTGAGAGCAGGAAGTGGGCTCCTTTTTCCATCGTACTATTGCAGCCAGCATTTTCCTACTGTATACCTCCATGCAGCCACTCAGTTTGAGATCTGTGGGCTTCGGTTTCCATCCTGAGGTTGCTCAAAATTATTTTGAAGCCTGGAGATGTTCCTAGAAAGATCTTCCTTCAGTGGGCATTTGCCCACCCCTGGCACCTCTCTTAAAGCACTCTGTCTGTCTTGCAGGGGGCTGGGACAGATGAGGGCTGCCTGATAGAAATCTTGGCATCTCGTACCAATGAGGAAATCCGGAGGATTAATGACACCTACAAACGCCGTGAGTATTCCTTCCTGTGGCTCCCTTCCCTCTCCTGCAGCTGATTCAGGGAGATTTCTAGAACCACATGGCCAGCTGTGCACCGAGAGCAGCTGGAAGCCCTGATCTGCATTTGCATGTTACATCTAACGATATGCAGACCTACCAGACAGAATGCTTTTTCTCTGATCTGAAGGATAGAAGCAGCATCAAAGTCCAGATTGGTCCAGATCAGTGTTTTTCAACCTTGGCAGCTTGAAGATGTGTGAACTTCAACTCCCAGAATGGCCCAGCCAGAAGTCCACACGTCTTCAGGTTGCCGAGGCTGAGAAATGCTGGCTCAGATTCATGCCTTTCCCAGAATGTATGCAGAACCAATCTTGGAGTTTAGAGGGATTCCCCAATGCCATAGCTTAGCAGGGCTGCCTGCAGGGCATGGCCAAGAAAGTCAAGATGGCATCTGTGATGGTGCACATGAAAAGTCAAGATGGTGTCTGTGATGGTGCACATAAGAAATAGGCAGATCTTCGATTGCACTGTTGCTGTCAGCTCTTTGAGGTAGACCAGACTTGAACACCAAAGTCATCAATACTAAAACTACTGTTATTATAGCTATATAATATAGTTATATAATATATAATATAATAATATTATATATAACAGAATCTTGCAACTCTGAATGTGCCTCCCCGCTCCCTACCTTTATCCTAAAGAAAGCTAGGGAGGGTCCCTTCTGCTTTCTCCACCCCCATCCTTCCTTTGGGCTTAGATTTCTCCTGTCGGACCGTTGCCTTGGTGTGGTTCTTCTTCCTGTTCCTCCAGGTTATTCTCACAGCCCATCATGTCTGCAGACACCATCTTGACTTTTTTGACCATGCCCTGGAGACACCCCTGCAGTTTAGGGGTGGCTTTTCAAGACGTCACCGTAGTTGTGAAGCTGCCCTCAGCTCCACCAATTCTCTCAGTACAACCATTGTGCTTTTTTGAGATACGTATCTGGGCCTTTTTGCAGAGTATGGAACTAGCCTTGAGAAAGACATCGTTTCAGATACTTCCTCCAGGTTCCGGAGAGTCCTGGTATCTCTGGCAACTGTAAGTATTGGACTCTTCTTGTGCCTCAGACTGCTCTTCACATAGTAGTTGCATTCACACCTCACCCTAAATCATGGTTTGCTGTAGCCACCATTTGTTGAGCAACCCAGAAGCAAGGATTCTTGCAGATGAGCAAATGAATCATGGCTTGTTTGAGAACATTTTGTTCTTTGTCCTTTCCTTATCATGCTGTGGAATGGTTCAAAACTTGTGTGCATGCAAAAACAAGCCAGGAAGAAGTTAGGAAACCAAAAGTAAACCACATGTCCCTTTTCGGAACACGATGTTAAACTGCAGTTGGTGTTGTAAGCCAGCAATGACCTGTGGTTTCCAGCTGTGTTTCCCATTCAAAAATGCTCAATGATTTTCTCTATGTTGGCTGCACCCACTGGATTCCCATCCTCTGTTCCAGTGACCTTTTCAAATTGCATTGAATATCTAAGACTTAGGATTTTCAGCACATTCTACTGAAAAATCACCCTCTCCTTTGGAGGCATGTAAGCTTTCTTGGGCCTCCTGCATGGACAGGGCCACCAGTTACAAGTTCTAAACCAAGGGAAAAATGAAGTATTGAGAATTTGTGGTGGGTGGAGAGGAATCTTCTCAAAGGCAAGTACATCCGTGTGAGACTTCCCCTATTTCAAACTTGCGCAGGCCAGGGTTTCAGGTGAGGATTTGGTGTCACGCTGAATTTTTTTCAGCTTATTAATGGCCCTCAATCCCATCCCAGTTTCTCTTGTGTGTTGGTTAAGATGGCTTCGTTGGGCTACCCTCCCCTGTGGTTGGGTAGACAGACCTATTCCCAAGGTCCCAGGGAAAGATCTCTCCGCCCTTTTAAAGGATTTGTGCCCCCCAGAGTATGAGTCTTCCTGCATCCCACTGATGTGGTAGATGTTTCTGCTAAAGATCCTTCTCGTTCACTCCTCACTGCTGGTCATGCCATATCTGAAACTGCTGGTGAGCTTCACTTGCCTTTTACCTGCCTCTTCTTCCCAGGGCAACAGAGATGAGAGTCCTTATGTTGACCAGGGGCTAGTCCAGCAGGATGCCCAGGTGAGTAGCCCATTGCAGGGATGAGCGGGCAGTTTGCTGCTTTGTTTCCAAACTGGTTTTATTTTAAATAGGGTATGACTGAACTCCTGCTCTCAGCCTCCTTAGATCCTCCATAACAGAGGCAGGTTCTGAACAGGTGGGCACTGCAGGCCTCCTTCAAGACTACCAAAATTTAACAGTCAAATGGCAATTTTTGGTGACACAATTTTTCTCTCCTTCTCTTCACCCCATTATACTGTATGCCACATGCAGACCATTATACCGGGTGCATTAAGACCCTGGTAAGCTTAACACACTTTATTTTGAGCAACATTGCACCCCAGTGGCTTACCTCCTCCAACCACGTCCCTGCTTTACCATTATGCCCCTTACAACTCTTGGAGGTAGAGATCCCCATATCTTGATCTGTGTAAAGTTGCCCATCCCTACTGTTTGTGAAAATGTGAAGGACACTGCCTTGTGGCCTGGATTCATGCAGATGCTGGGTTGTGGCTCAGTGGTCAGAGCCTCAGACTCCCCACTCCCCTGCCCGTTCTTCAACTACGGCTTTTGCAAAATCTATTGTTTGCGTGCCTTTCCTTTAGTGCCTGTATGAAGCAGGAGAGAAGAAGTGGGGCACAGATGAGGACCACTTCATAACCATCTTATGTTCCAGAAGCAGGAGCCACCTGTTAAGGGGTAAGGCAGTGAATTCTTGTAAAAAGGGATCCTCCTGGGAATCTGTAGTGTATTCTAGAATGAACGCTAAGGAGGGATCCACCCTCCAACTCCTTCCTATACTGAGAAGCATCATGATGATCGGTCAGTTGTGTGCTGGGAATGAGAGTTGCAGCAACAAAGGCGTGTCGTTTGACTTGAGGCAAGATGGCGTGATTCCCCATTGCTTTTGGCCACCACAGATTAGCACAGGTCTCTTCCTGTCCTATTTCAGTTCATTTCCAGGAGATCTGCTGTTTTCTATCTTTTTTAGAAAAAAAAATGAATATGGAAATTGGAAATATTAGGAATTTGAATATGGAAATAACAGAACAGAGGATGTTCATTGACTACCTGAGTCTCCAGGTTTGGGAAATTCTGGCATAGCTTTTGTTTCTCATTTGCTAATAAAAACCTTTATCTATTTATTTAGTATTTGAAGAATACAAGAACATTGCTAACAAAGATATTACGGAGAGTATTAAATCCGAGATGTCAGGAGACCTTGAAGATGCCTTATTGGCAATAGGTGAGGACTCAACATCAGCTTTTATTCTTTTCTAGCTGGTGACAGACTTGCTTTGCAGTGGTCATTTTGTCAATAACTTGGTCCCAGCACATCTACAAGGAGAGGCCAAAATCTGCAGAACAGTGAGCATGATGTCTCGATCCAAGCCCTTCTGCATGTGACGCGATGCTGCTGCTTGATCCTACCATGACTTTAGACTGCAGTGAAGAATACTTGTTGGATCTGTTCTTGTTTTAACCTCCCCAAAGTCCTGGGAGTGAAGCAAGGCTAAGAGATGGTGGTTCAGGGTCACCTTGGGACTTCATTGGGGCCAAGGCTATCCATTTCCTCCCAAGAAAATTGGGAGGTTTGCAGAGGAGGCACATTTGGTTGGGCTGTGGGAGAAACAAGGTAGGCTTGCTTGCCATAAGATATTGGTCTTTCTTGACCACCTCTCGTCTAGGAGCTCCTTGGCCTGCTAGGCCAAGCTGCTTGCATAGGTTTGAGTGGACTGGCTCATGCTTTGGGGTGAATTGTTTTTATGCAAAATTATTTTATGTCCAGTAACTGTCGGAAGTTGAGCCAAATGTTTATATACTTGAGACAAACATTGGTTGCCCTCCCGGTGAGTGAATTCTAGGACTTGAATTTCCAATCTCAAAGCCTTGGAGAGGATGGCTTTACTTCTGTTGCTTCAGAAAGAGGGGGGCCAGCCCCCACAGCTGTGCAAAACCAAGGAAGTAAGAACTACAGATTTCAGCATGGTCTCATAATGCTCACCTGGGATAAATATGGAGTCTGGGAAACTTTGAAACGCTTTTTCCCAGGTTCCTGGCCACCTGGGCTGTTTTGTCATTGGCAAAATCAGCTGCCAACAGACATGCCCTCTGCCCTCTTGCTTAAGTCTCCTCCCTCTCTTCCATTCCTTTCCAGCCTCCCCACACTCTCAGTGGGGAGGAAGAAACCTGAATTTAAACCCTGGAGCTAGGCATAGGCACTGACATGTGTGTGCAGATGACTTCATTGGTGCAATGAAGCAACAACTCACGTTGTGCTGCGTCTGGGAGCTTTTGCCCAAAGCAAGTTCCTGAATATAGGATAGCTGAGGAGATTCATTGCTGTCTGGCCCAAAACCTGCTACAGCCACATGTTCTGAGATGGTCCGCACATCTGGAAGACACTGTGATGGAGGAAGACGGTTCCAGCATTTTAGATATTGCTTGCTACTGAGATAAGAGGAATTTTGAAAATAAACATTTTTGGGTAGGCCATGTGCAATGTATGCCGTGTTTTCATTTAGAAAATTGTTGCTTTAATAACACAGTATTTCTGAGACGATTTTAATTTTTTTATCAAGAATGTTTGTTGCTATGCTAACTGACCTTCCTTTATTCTCCTCTCCTCCCAGTGAAGTGCATGAGAAATAAGTCTGCCTACTTTGCTGAACGGCTGTACAAATCTATGAAGGTAAACACACGCATTAAAGCAGCTGTAAACTGTATAGGAGCTTCGTAAAAGGAGTATTCTGTTAAGTGACTGATTCCTTGTAATTACAGGGTTCTTCATGACCTGGGCACAGGCTTTGCATGAAAAAGGCTGGCATTTAATCCCTGGCATGTAGAAAGGGTTGGATAATTTCCCCCTCTCCTGGGGATTCTGCAAGGTGCCAGTGTGAAGGTGGGCTAGAGCAGTGTTTCTCAACCTTGATGCCTTTAAGATGTGGGGACTTCAACTCCCAGAATTCCCCAGCCAGTTGAAGTCCCCACATCTTAAAGGCATCAAGGTTGAGAAACACTGGCCTAGAGGCTTGGTGTAGCACAATTAGCCAGTGTCTGGCTTCAAAGGGACCAAGTGTTATGCTGGTTGAAGTCTGGCATGTGGTGTGACTTGCCTATTCTTTCTATTCCTTCCCCCAAACCAGGGGTTAGGGACCGATGACGACACTCTCGTTCGACTGATGGTCTCTCGCTGTGAGATCGACATGATCGATATTAAGGCAGAGTTCAAGCGCACGTATGGAAAATCCCTCTACTCTTTCATTAAGGTGAGTTCCCGTGTTTGATCTTACGGAGTTTCTGCACAACATCACGTTGTTCTTACACACAGGATTACAGGAAGGTTACGGGCTGTTCTCATCTTACTGGAATACTTCCAGCCAGAGGTGTCTATAGGTTGTAGTCAAAAGTGTCAAGATGGTACACATACCACAACGGTATGATCAAAGCTCTGCCTATTCTGTGTGTGTTGTGGATCGCTGATTGCATCATCATGGCCGCCATCTTGACTTTTCTGACCGTATCTTGTGGGCACCCCTGCTTCCAGTAAGGGTCAGAGCAGTCCGTATTAAAAACATTTTGAACTTTTTTCTGCACATGTGTAATTCAGATGTAAATGCTAAGACAGGAGCTGTGAGCCCTGCTTTGCTAAAATTTGCATCCTTTTAATAAAACAAAAGGTAACTGTGCTTTGTTTTTCCCCTTTAGGGAGACACCTCAGGGGACTACAGGAAAATTCTGCTCCTTCTGTGCGGCGGGGAAGACTAAGATAAGGTTTCTTCCCCATTTTGACACTGAAGCCGTGCAGCTGGCAGTCTCCATAGGAGATACCAAGTAGTCCTAACCTTTTTCAGTAACGCTTTAAAAAATGCCAACAATATCATGCTAACATTGATTGTGCCTGCCTCTTTCGCTCTCTCTAAATATAAATTTAAAATGGCTTTGAAAAGAATTAGTCCCTGCTTTGGAACAGGTGGACAATATGCAGCATAGAATGAACAATACAATCCAATCTTTGAAAAGGCTCCTTCAAGTCTATCCTGCAGAAAGGTGAAGCTTTATTCAATAGAAACTGAGAAATACCAAATTTCTTACAATGGTTGGACATTTCCTTCCTGATGGCAAGGTAGAGGGTGCTTGTATTCTCAGTTCCACATAGGTCTTTCTCACCTCCACCCCAAAAAGATGATTGATTGTTAACTGAGCTTGTGATGCTGTATTTCAAATTCATGCAGAGTTTGTCCTGCTAACATGGGGCTTAAACTCCGAGTTAGCAGAAATCTTGCAGGAAGAATGCTACTTCAGACACGCTAATGCCACTTCTGAGGTTCCTGCTAATTCCCTCCTCCATAGCAGCTCATATCGATTTTTGTTAAAAAGCACAAATATAGGGTATGAGCCTTTCTTTCTTTCTTTATGCTGAACTTAAGTGACTCAAGTGAGCAGAGTTTAAAAAGAAAATTCCCAATGAACTCCTTTATACAGATATTATACTCTAACTCTTCTAGTTTCTGAACATGACCAATTTGATATTCACACTGAACCAGTCCAGATTGAAACATGCCAAGCAATCTAGAAATCCCATCTATTGATCTTTTTTAAGGCTATCAGGAGCTTCATTTGAATATATGTAGCAGCAAACAGCCACCTGTTGTACCTTTCCTGTACCATGCCAGATTTTAGTATTCTAGTCCCACCGATGCAACTGATCCTTTTTTTTCTGGAACGGGAGCAGAGAAGCCTCACCACCATGGAGCCGTAGCTGGAAGAAGAGGTGTTTTAACTTTTTTCTAAACTGCTCTGGAAACAATCATGAACTGTTCCGTATTTTCCAGATCAATAAAGAAAGGAATCTTGCTGTTTCAATAAAAGTGTTGTTTTAAGGTGAGGAATACTTAAGAACATAGTAAAATAGTAAGGTTTACTCTCATCTCTGCCCATAAGAGGCTCACATCTCATTTAAGACTCCTCTACAGGAGTTGGTGTCTCAACATGTTGCTGTTTCTCTTTGCTAGAGAAGGAAGCCCTGCTACACAGAACCAAACTTTCTCCTAAGGAAACCCCTATGTTTGCAAGATTATTACTCCAATGGCTCCATTAAGTGTCAAGCGTATTAAGGTAAATCAAACAAAGGACAATCTGGCTGCTTCATGGATACCTCAGGATGTTGGACCATCAGGAGAAATACTAAACAACCCAGAAGTTTATTCTTGCAGCAAATAGTACTTTCCCCTGTGATAAACAGTTGCTCAACTTGAGCCCCTAGTCCATTTTTTCCTCTTCATCCAGGCCAGGCTGGATGCAGTCCCTCCACCTCGTTGGCTCTGGCACATAGGGATCGAATGTCCATTTGGGAAAGACCCGCTTGTACAAGGTCATCAGCACCGTGTCCTGGGACTTCAGCTGCCCATCAAACTGGCATTTCATGTGACCGTGGGTTCCTGGCAGTGAAGAGGAGATTGGGAGTCAGGGCATACAGGCAGTGAGGGAGGGAGATTTGCTCAGCCAACGTGCCATAAAACCTTCACCCACTTACCCAGAGGCTCCTTGATGTGGCCGCGGCGGCCCCACTTGGTCCGGAGCTCCACTGGTTTGAACCACAGGACATCCTCTGCAGGAGAGAGAGGGATCAGTAAGAACTAGAACTCCGGCATGGTTAGGAGCAATGCCAGAAATTATAATCACAGAAAACCAGGAGTTGCACAAGTTCTATAAAATGAGGGTGTTTATATACCACAGACCTGAGAGAGAGAGTGTGTGTGTGTGTGTGTGTGTCGGGGAGGAAGTGGGTTCCTATGGCACTGCATATGGGAAGTTGCTCTGGCAAAGTGTGGACAGGACAGCCTTGTGCTGCCTGTACACTGATTGGATCCACTACCATTCTTCTGTAGCTGCTACTGCAGCTCCCTGCCCCCATCTTTAGGTACAATACCTCTGTTGAAGAACATGTAGCGCACAACTGCCAGCTTGCTGAAGATCTTGAACGGGTGGCCACTGAGCACCACCCGTTTGATGACCAGCCGGTTGGGATCTACACTGAGCAGGGAGCCTGTAGCCAAGAGATTATGTGCTCCTGCAAAGAAGCACAAGTGTCAATTATATGGCTCGGGGCAGATGGCCTTAGGGCATTACAGACAGGCCCAGGGCACAACTTCAGCCTGGGTATTCTATAAGCAACGTTTGCGTTGCCAAGGAATTAAGTCTGTCTGACTCCAAGATCAGCAAAGGGGAAGGAAAAGTACCGAGTCTTGAACCCAAACCATACTTTCAGCCACCCTCACTGATAATGTGCCCACCAATCAGGATAATTGTATGGCACAGACAGGCAATACCCTGTTCACCACAGTGGTTGGCGCTGGTGGGAACTGTAGTTCAGCAACAAGTTTATCACTGCTGCATACAGGTTTTAATTCAAATTAAAAGCAGCAGAGCAGTGTCACCAATAAAACGAGCCCAAGGCAATGCATGAGGTCCTTGGCAAGCTTTGCTGGGGAGGAAGCTCCTGACGCCTGTCCCCCCGGGGAGAAGGCTCTCCTCTGGGACGCTCTTCCTCCAGGCCCTGAAGGGACCCAGAGCAGAGGCTGACAAGCCAGGGGGAAGGGGCAGTGTCTCACTGAGGAAAATGTTGGCTTTCCCAGCTGCTGCAGAGGCACACTTCCCCTCCTGGCACCCTGCAGACCTTCTGAGATGCAAATGCCCTCTTGTTAAGCCCTAGAATGAATGGGCTGGTAGAGCAACACACCTGCAGGGAACAGGTTGAGGGAAGCTGCTGGAAAGGAAGGCAGAAGCTAGAAGGGCCAGTAGAAGTGGCGATGGTGGCAGCACCAGGGGATGCCAAAGCACACGAGCCCATACTGCCTCAATTTCCAATTTTAATTTTAAATCTAAAAATTTAAACTTAAAAAATTAAATTAACTAAAAAATAATTTAAAAATTTAAATGTAAATTTAATGGTTAATGCCCCAATACTTCCCAATTTCCAACTCACCATTACTGTCCTGTTTGAAGAGCAGCACAGAAGCAGGTGGAAAAGTGATGGGGGCATAGATTGTGGCCACCACAGCACTGTCAGCATGCAAAAACTTCTCCAGCTTGTGTTTATCCGCTGCGGGGGGGGGGGGGGGGGGGTTGCATGTTTAGTCTAAGCATAAATTTTGACATTAAACCACTTTCAATTTATAAAATTAAAAGAATGTCTATCCCTCTCTTCAGCTGAGAAAAGCTCCTGGAGTGAGTGGCTTATAAAGATCAGAAATAAAACAGTGTTTGCCTTTGCATTTACCATTTTAAATGGTGTAGTGCAAAAGGAAATGGACTGTGGGAGGAGCTGAATAAACAAACTTGTTTTAGCAGCTCAAGCTTTAAAATTAGGGTTGACTGTTGCAAAGCTCAAGTGACCCTCAAACAGCTGCAGCTTGAATGTGGGGAAATTTGCAGCTTATGAGTTTTCTCCTAAAACCTGGCTGCAAAGTTTCTTCAAGGGAAGTTCCTACATGAAATCACTGATTATGTACCATCAAACTGGTGTTTACTCTTAGCAACCACAGAGATAGACCTTCTCCATGATGTTCTGTCCCTAACCCGGTCTTTCAGCTCTTCCAACAGTGCCCTCACTGCTACTGTAGCTGAGTCCCTCCCACAGCTGCTGGTCATCCTCTTTTCTTCCACCTTTCCCGGCATCAGAGCCTTCTCCAGAGCTGGGTCTTCGTATAATGTGCCCGAAGAAAGACGATTTAAGCCTGGTCGTTTGAGTGACAACTCTGGGTTGATGTGTTCAATGATCCATCAGTTTGACACATCACGGCATTTGAGTACCTTTTCCAAATGCACATGACCAAAAGGAGGCAGGAAAGAAGCTGACCCATCCTATCTTTTCCCTGCATTCTGAACTAGATTTGAGCCCACTTAGATAACTGGGCTGGGCGGCCGATATCCTAAAAGAGGCGTGTCAAGACACATACTTTGATTCAGCCCTGACAAACTCTCTCCACAAAACCCAGAAGTTTCAGCCAGCCTCGCCTTCTCTGCTGACCTCCTCCCATTCTCTTCAGCCCAGAGATCATTCAGAAGCAGAGAAGCACAAGGATTCCCATCCCTTTTTTAGAGAGGAACCTGCAGGGGCTTCATCTCCCCTTGGGAGGTTGAGGACATCATTTCCCCGCCTGAAGGGTGTTGAGAGTAGAGAGGGGAGGCCCGGAAGCGGCGGA